TAAGACAGGAAACAGGTACCTGGCTGAAGGCAGAACCTCAGCATTTCCCAATCCCATTACAAAAATCCTAAACCCTGACTCCTGAGAACCATAACATCAACAGAGAGGGCAGAAAACTACAAGCAAGTGCACACAGAGAAACTCAGAGCTAACTCCATGTGCTCTAACAGAGCTCTACTTCCGAGGCCCTCAAGGCCTTAGCTTATTTGCAGTTAAATCCACCAAGGGCGTGTTAAGTCCATTTCTCCTTTCTTATATTCCCATGAAAGCAAACCCAAACCAAACTCAAACCACAACTAAGAGTTGGCACTGGATAAACCAGGAACCACTGTGAATAAAGCCTATCCGGATTTCAGAAAACACAAAATGAAGAGGCCTCCCAACTCTCACATCCTGCTCTGCTTTCCTTTGTAAGCAGAGCTGAAAAGAAGAGCCTTGGACCACACCACATCACAATGTCTGGTCGTGGAATTCCCCTTTTCCCTCTGCAGACTTATGCATTTCCAGAAAAAAAGGTCTTTCCTAAATTAAAAGCCCCAGCCAAAACAACACCACTCCTCTACCACTAGTATATGTCTCTCTGGAGACAATCCAATGACAGAGCAAAGCTGGCAGCTGTAGCTCTTAGGCTCCTATTAACAGTGCCCCACACTTGGCACACACCTCCTTGCACCCAGGATACATGGGGCCGCTAAGAGCGTCTGTACTCTTAAGGCAGGGAGCTGGGAGATAAGAAATGTCTTACTGCAAACGAGAAAGCTCTTATAAGCACAATGCAATGGCGATCAGGATCCGATTCCTTAGGAAGATCAGCATCAGTATGATTATGACAAACTTGCTCTAAGGTTAGAGAGCTGAGAGCACCATGTCCCGAAACATTTCCTCTCTTAGTTGTGAGCAGTGTTTGATTCATAACCCAGATCTTGTTTAAAGAGTTGGCTTCTCTCTGATTTCTATTTGTGTCACTTCAAATCCTACTGCTGCAATAGGAAGCAAAAGAATTCTCTGGACTCCACCTCGAGAAGGCAGAGTCTTAAATGCCTGAAGCACACCTCCTCTCACCCTGAGACACATCCCTTAATTCTGGGTGCCTCAGAGGGTTAGACAACAATTAAACCAGCCCAGCGGTGCTGGATGGTTACACACAGCAGGCCCTGTCTCCTCCAGCTGAAACCAAGAGTTCTGTGGAGGGAGAGGAAGACAAAGGGAAGGTATCCCTCAGCCGTGGCGTCTGGAGGTTTGCACAGGGACAGGGGAATTGGCTTCAGGTCCCACAGCTTTGACACAGCCTCAGAATCCAGACCCAGATAGTCAGAGATGATGTTCAGTTGCGATCCCCAGTACTGAGAGCAGTACCCCTAGCCATCAGAACTGCACGTGGCAAGTGACCCCTGGGGTGCTCAGAGCCACAGACTTTCTTCAGAACAAAGGTTTTGTTACACACATTTCAGCACCTATTTTTGATATGGTTCTCCATGAAGGAATACATAGGCAGGTTGCTTTGCAGTTGGTCTCAGCCCAGTTCAGATCTCTTAAGTTAACGTAGCTTGTCCCCATTAGTAGTACCTCAATTCACTCATCTGAAAGTGACACTGACCTCTGGATAAACTGTACATTGGCTGCTAAGAATCAGGCAGGGGAGTTACACGGAAAGATGGAATAAAATCCTAATATTCTCTAGGGCCAGCATGCTAAAAAGCTCTGCCTCAACAATATGCAAAGATGCTCCTGAGCTCAATGATCCAACACAGTTACTTGAAGACACAAAGCAGAGAAAGCAGACTAAAGGAGTAAACTACTGCTCTATTCATTTAGCTACCAATAGGGAGAAGCAGTGCTTTAGGCTATGTGCCATTCATCATCAGTTAGTGCCTGTGGGCCTGCTAATAGAGTAGTAACAGCAGCACAAATAGTATTTGACAGGTATTTGTTCTCTCTTGTGCCCCTCCTTGTCTTGTTCCAGTAGGATTGTTTTAAATACACTGCCCTTGTAAGAGAAAGCAGTGAAGCACTTCTGAAAACCAGAAGTGATGACATTTGTGATGGCTCATTACACAGCCTCAGGACAGCCTCCAAGAAAATGCAGTCACCTGAATGTAAACAGGTCTACAAAAGATGCACACAGTTATTCGTCTCATTTCTGGGGCCCTCCAGGAGGGGGCATAAACAGACTGAGAGACAAAAATGCCCCTCCTTATCTTCATCGGGACTTAGTTCTTGCCTTCTGCTTCCCCATTGTGAAGACTGAACACACGGGAAGCAGAATGCTAGTAACACAAGCCTTTTTCACCCTCATCACTAGTGCGACTGCATTCTGGCCCCTTACACATACGCTAGTCGCTTTGCAGAAAAGGTAGATTTTTGTACTATACAAAGAAAGTGAATTCTGATTACTTCTATGAGCAACATATGTAGAGGAGGAGATTTAACAAGGCAGAAACTGTAGCAAGACAGCGACTGAATCTTCTGAACATCCCTTAACGGATACCAAGTTTAAAGGGCACTTACTAAATGCTAACCATGTTTGCCTCAGCTGCAGGTGCACTCTGAAGTCTGTCTGGAATCCAGCACCAGAAACAGTGAGCTCAGATCCAGGTATTCCTTTAAGATGGTCGTACTCCCAGCGACAATGCCAGATGCCTGTTAAAAATCAATCAATATCAAACGAGCGTTTTTGAAGAGTGCAAAGACAAGGTTGGGGTTATTTAAATCTTTGACAAGTGAAGCGTTTTGTCCTCAGCATGTCAGGGAAGCAAAACTAAACACGCGTTACTGCGAGACTAGCCAGCTATAACATCACATCTACAGATAAGAAAGATCAGTACAAGTGAAAGCGGACTAAGTACACTGGGGGTAAATAGTTCGGGTTACTACATCCGGGGCTAAGTATCAGCACAGCTGGATTCTTACTAAATTTTGCTGCCATTTAGGCCCTTCTCATTTAATTGAGCCTAAACCTAGGCACTAGTTCTCCCAACTACAGCATTTAACTGATGTAATCACTTACTTTCCTTGCCCAAAATCAAGCAATAAGGAAAAACAGCCTCAGAGCCTGGAGGATTACACCTACCATAACCTATAATTCCAGTCACGCCAAAGATGAAAATCCAGAAGAGAATCCCAGCTGTGAACCTCAATAACACAAGGAAGAGCAGACTCACAATCATTGCAACGAACAGCCCACTAGAAAGACAAGAAACAGAAACCCAGGCAGAACAAGTGTGAGCATCTTTCTTGCACGCCTCTTACTCCAAATGAGGGTCCCTTCATCTCGTGTAGGAGAACGGTTTGCAAAAGTGTATTTCAAAATCTTCCTTATGAAATATTTCCTCATGGCTCTCTGCTGTTAGAAACAGACAGATTATATATGATGATCTGGACACAGCCAGAACTGTCTGCGTACACCGAGTTCTCAGGGCGTCTGAATGGGACCAGCACACGTCTGGTTTGGTCATTTACACTGGCTGACCAACTCACTGCCTTTTCCAGGCCATGGCCTACTCTACAGCACACAAACTTAAATGGGAGACATACCTGTGTGTGGGGAGGTTACTGGTTTATGTCCTCCATTTAAAATCTCTGCTTGCACAGAAACAGTATTACGAAAGTAAACTCCAATAACAACAACACAGTTCAGTTTTCTGCTTCTCTTTCATTTCTATGTCTTTGCAAACTGGGAAGTCCTAGCCCCATCAGTCAATTCTCTCAACACTGTGCCCTTGTGGTTAAGAAGGCCAAAAATTTTGGCACTTTTCTGAGGTTATCAGACCAAGGTAAGATACCTCTAAGGTTTGCCCCTTGTCTGGAAAATTTGTCATGTTTGCTTCCAAACTCAGCCAAGAAGGAATGACTCCAGAGATAACAGAACAGGGCAACCAAGATGATTTTGGAGCAAAACCTTTATGATCATGCCTTCTTATGACACTAGAGTAAGTAGGTTTGTTACAAGACTTTTACTTTGCCATAATGGCCTTTGGATAGCAAGCATATGCAACAGTATGGTCTGGAGGCTTTTGAATGTCACTGGCAGGAAGGTCTGCTGTCTTTGAAAATCTTCAGTGGAAAACAAGCAGTTGAACATTCCTTTTCTAGAAAACTTCACAAGAAACTTCTTCTCAGTGTCAATAACGTTTTCATTGTAACACACAAATCCAGTGCAGCTGGCAAAGCAAGGAGACTTAAAGAACCTCCTGAACAGAGTTACTTTATCTTGCAATTATTAGGTCAATAATGAGCAATTAGTAAAAATGCAGCATGTTCAAAAGAAGTAGCTATTTTGGCAGTTGCCTGTGAGAATATATGCCTAAATGGCTGTTTAGATACTGTTATTGAAATCAACTTCTGTGATTTGGAGATGCTTCAACAGCAATGGGCTTGAAGAATTTTTTCAGACTGCAGATGGGTCCTGCAACAGAAGAAGCAACACTTTCCCCCATTTCAAAGGAAGTGAAGGCCTGATGGTGAAAGGAGGTGGGATTAAAAATCTAATATGGAATTGCTCTGTTCTTTTTATCCTACTCCCAAAGAACTGCTGCTTTCAAGGCTCAGTTTAAGGGAAGCACTCTATTAATGACAGTTGTTACCATGTATTCATTCAGTTTTGGTGTTACTAGAGCAAATCTGAAGCTAACCGTAGATAAAGGTATCTTACTGCCTTGAAGAAGAGAGTCAGGAACTCCAAAATGACAGTGCTTTTTTTGAGGAATACATTCTGAATTTCAAACAAGCCATTCAGAAAGGGAACACGCATCATGCTGGGAAGCCTCTAAGGGGCTAGGACTTAAGACCAGTTTACAAAGGCTTAACTAAATAAACTGATGTTCTTTTTCTTGTCCCTCTGCCCGTCTGGCTTAGTTTGCCCAAGACATCCGGTTTTGATTGTTTGTGGTCAGGCTGACCCGTTTGTTATCTTTAGTCACTGGCTAAATAAACTGGGAACGTTCAGAAGAGAAGTTCCTGACCACAGGGAAGAAAAGGGTTTCATTTCTTTTTGTTCTAACACAAAATTCTGATGTAACACCTCAGAGTTGTAGAGAAATGAAATGTTCTGTGAAGCGTCTGAGCTGGATCTTTGTTGGATGGAACCATTGTTCCCACTGCTTTATTTGCATTGCTTTAGAAGAAACCCGCTGAGTAAAGGCCTTTTGCAGTCATTCTTTCCTTTCTGACTTGCTTTCTGGGAGTGAAATGAAAGCAAATGTTTCCTTAGCACAGACTTGATAAAGACACTGGAGATGTCCATCCTAGGGGTCCCACTGATGGCTCTGAACAGGTTCTTTTTATGCATCACTATGCCCTGATCATTTTCTTCTCCGATGGGTAGAAAGGATCACTGGTTTTCCTCCTAAAATGAATTCTTTTTTTTCTAGGAAAGCTCCTCAAATGTTACTTTCGTAATACTGTTTCTGTGCAAGCAGGGATTTTAAATGGAGGACATAAACCAGTAACCTCCCCACACACAGGTATTTCTCCCATTTAAGTTTGTGTGCTGTAGAGTAGGCCATGGCCTGGAAAAGGCAGTGAGTTGGTCAGCCAGTGTAAATGACCAAACCGGACGTGTGCTGGTCCCATTCAGACGCCCTGAGAACTCGGCGTACGCAGACAATTCTGGCTGTGTCCAGATCATCATATATAATCTGTCTGTTTCTAACAGCAGAGAGCCATGAGGAAATATTTCATAAGGAAGATTTTGAAATACATTTTTGCAAACCGTTCTCCTACACGAGATGAAGGGACCCTCATTTGGAGTAAGAGGCGTGCAAGAAAGATGCTCGCACTTGTTCTGCCTGGGTTTCTGTTTCTTGTCTTTCTAGTGGGCTGTTCGTTGCAATGATTGTGAGTCTGCTCTTCCTTGTGTTATTGAGGTTCACAGCTGGGATTCTCTTCTGGATTTTCATCTTTGGCGTGACTGGAATTATAGGTTATGGTAGGTGTAATCCTCCAGGCTCTGAGGCTGTTTTTCCTTATTGCTTGATTTTGGGCAAGGAAAGTAAGTGATTACATCAGTTAAATGCTGTAGTTGGGAGAACTAGTGCCTAGGTTTAGACTCCATTAAATGAGAAGGGCCTAAATGGCAGCAAAATTTAGTAAGAATCCAGCTGTGCTGATACTTAGCCCCAGATGTAGTAACCCGAACTATTTACCCCCAGTGTACTTAGTCCGCTTTCACTTGTACTGATCTTTCTTATCTGTAGATGTGATGTTATAGCTGGCTAGTCTCGCAGTAACGCGTGTTTAGTTTTGCTTCCCTGACATGCTGAGGACAAAACGCTTCACTTGTCAAAGATTTAAATAACCCCAACCTTGTCTTTGCACTCTTCAAAAACGCTCGTTTGATATTGATTGATTTTTAACAGGCATCTGGCATTGTCGCTGGGAGTACGACCATCTTAAAGGAATACCTGGATCTGAGCTCACTGTTTCTGGTACTGGATTCCAGACAGACTTGAGAGTGCACCTGCAGCTGAGGCAAACATGGTTAGCATTTAGTAAGTGCCCTTTAAACTTGGTATCCGTTAAGGGATGTTCAGAAGATTCAGTCGCTGTCTTGCTACAGTTTCTGCCTTGTTAAATCTCCTCCTCTACATATGTTGCTCATAGAAGTAATCAGAATTCACTTTCTTTGTATAGTACAAAAATCTACCTTTTCTGCAAAGCGACTAGCGTATGTGTAAGGGGCCAGAATGCAGTCGCACTAGTGATGAGAGTGAAAAAGGCTTGTGTTCCTAGCATTCTACTTCCCGTGTGTTCAGTCTTCACAATGGGGAAGCAGAAGGCAAGAACTAAGTCCCGATGAAGATAAGGAGGGGCATTTTTGTCTCTCAGTCTGTTTATGCCCCCTCCTGGAGGGCCCCAGAAATGAGACGAATAACTGTGTGCATCTTTTGTAGACCTGTTTACATTCAGGTGACTGCATTTTCTTGGAGGCTGTCCTGAGGCTGTGTAATGAACCATCACAAATGTCATCACTTCTGGTTTTCAGAAGTGCTTCACTGCTTTCTCTTACAAGGGCAGTGTATTTAAAACAATCCTACTGGAACAAGACAAGGAGGGGCACAAGAGAGAACAAATACCTGTCAAATACTATTTGTGCTGCTGTTACTACTCTATTAGCAGGCCCGCAGGCACTAACTGATGATGAATGGCACATAGCCTAAAGCACTGCTTCTCCCTATTGGTAGCTAAATGAATAGAGCAGTAGTTTACTCCTTTAGTCTGCTTTCTCTGCTTTGTGTCTTCAAGTAACTGTGTTGGATCATTGAGCTCAGGAGCATCTTTGCATATTGTTGAGGCAGAGCTTTTTAGCATGCTGGCCCTAGAGAATATTAGGATTTTCTTACATCTTTCCGTGTAACTCCCCTGCCTGATTCTTAGCAGCCACTGTACAGTTTATCCAGAGGTCAGTGTCACTTTCAGATGAGTGAATTGAGGTACTACTAATGGGGACAAGCTACGTTAACTTAAGAGATCTGAACTGGGCTGAGACCAACTGCAAAGCAACCTGCCTATGTATTCCTTCATGGAGAACCATATCAAAAATAGGTGCTGAAATGTGTGTAACAAAACCTTTGTTCTGAAGAAAGTCTGTGGCTCTGAGCACCCCAGGGGTCACTTGCCACGTGCAGTTCTGATGGCTAGGGGTACTGCTCTCAGTACTGGGGATCGCAACTGAACATCATCTCTGACTATCTGGGTCTGGATTCTGAGGCTGTGTCAAAGCTGTGGGACCTGAAGCCAATTCCCCTGTCCCTGTGCAAACCTCCAGACGCCACGGCTGAGGGATACCTTCCCTTTGTCTTCCTCTCCCTCCACAGAACTCTTGGTTTCAGCTGGAGGAGACAGGGCCTGCTGTGTGTAACCATCCAGCACCGCTGGGCTGGTTTAATTGTTGTCTAACCCTCTGAGGCACCCAGAATTAAGGGATGTGTCTCAGGGTGAGAGGAGGTGTGCTTCAGGCATTTAAGACTCTGCCTTCTCGAGGTGGAGTCCAGAGAATTCTTTTGCTTCCTATTGCAGCAGTAGGATTTGAAGTGACACAAATAGAAATCAGAGAGAAGCCAACTCTTTAAACAAGATCTGGGTTATGAATCAAACACTGCTCACAACTAAGAGAGGAAATGTTTCGGGACATGGTGCTCTCAGCTCTCTAACCTTAGAGCAATCTTGGTGGTAAAGTAGTGATTTGTGTTATACTTGTTATGAAAAGCAGAATTTGTTAGGGGTGAACTGGCAGGGTCGTGCTTCCTAAGGAATCGGATCCTGATCGCCATTGCATTGTGCTTATAAGAGCTTTCTCGTTTGCAGTAAGACATTTCTTATCTCCCAGCTCCCTGCCTTAAGAGTACAGACGCTGTTAGCGGCCCCATGTATCCTGGGTGCAAGGAGGTGTGTGCCAAGTGTGGGGCACTGTTAATAGGAGCCTAAGAGCTACAGCTGCCAGCTTTGCTCTGTCATTGGATTGTCTCCAGAGAGACATATACTAGTGGTAGAGGAGTGGTGTTGTTTTGGCTGGGGCTTTTAATTTAGGAAAGACCTTTTTTTCTGGAAATGCATAAGTCTGCAGAGGGAAAAGGAGAATTCCACGACCAGACATTGTGATGTGGTGTGGTCCAAGGCTCTTCTTTTCAGCTCTGCTTACAAAGGAAAGCAGAGCAGGATGTGAGAGTTGGGAGGCCTCTTCATTTTGTGTTTTCTGAAATCCGGATAGGCTTTATTCACAGTGGTTCCTGGTTTATCCAGTGCCAACTCTTAGTTGTGGTTTGAGTTTGGTTTGGGTTTGCTTTCATGGGAATATAAGAAAGGAGAAATGGACTTAACACGCCCTTGGTGGATTTAACTGCAAATAAGCTAAGGCCTTGAGGGCCTCGGAAGTAGAGCTCTGTTAGAGCACATGGAGTTAGCTCTGAGTTTCTCTGTGTGCACTTGCTTGTAGTTTTCTGCCCTCTCTGTTGATGTTATGGTTCTCAG